TATGTATTAAGCCCTAAAACATAATCTTAACTAATTTGTATCGCCTACATAGATCTTGGATATGGGAGCATAATCCCGCCCTTAACTTTCACTATAGCATGAATGAATTGATGCTTGCTAAACACATTTGTGACCTAAATGGTCCCTCATCATATAGATCAGCAGTTTGCATAATAGTTAGTGTTGTTAGAGACTAATTGCATCCGATAAAAAAAATGAGGCTTGTAGATAAATTGGAGGTAACATGTAATTTGAACTTTGTGGTAGATTATATGAAAACCAGACATACAAGCAAGCCCTTCTTCTGCTTTCTTTTTCGATCTCTATTTACCTTTTCTTTTTTAGCTTGTCCAAATGGAGTTCTTTTTATGCTATTTTATGTTGTTTATGATGGCCCATCACCAAATCATCTCCTTTTTGCTTTTTGGATCAACGCATCCTAGACTTCATTGGGCTGTAACTTCCTGAACTAGGGCCTGATTTTGGTATACCTCAATGTCAACGATTACTGCGGCAGAAGCTTCTTTCAGTTCTGAGTGACTCTGGCAAAAAATCCTCAATCATTGATCATATATCCATAGTGAGGAGATATGCTGCTGAATTGTCCCATACAATTCCAGTATCATCTGATGATGAAGCACTTTCAAAAGCCAACAAAGAGGTTAGTCAAAAGAATCTAATTTGCTAGATTTTCAGAAAGCAGACTGATTAGGAACCCAACAGCTCACTATACTGGCATCTCTCGTCTTCATAGGTCAGAAATGATAAAGTACAGTTTATCTGGACGCAATTTGCAGAGTTATATGCATATCTCAGGAAGCAAGCAGATGAGCCTGAGAAGCTAAATAAAAAGTTGGCAGAAATGATAGCATTGCTGACGTGTGAGAAAAAGTCTACTAGCAGAAAAAATTTCAAATATGATATCACCCCTGAACTGAAGGACATTCTGAGCCACATGAATCGTAGAGTCAGGAGCATTTACTCCAATCTTCCTCTAAATGCAATGCTTATTATTTGCACTGGTCATGGAGACACTGCAATAGTTCAAAGGTAAAATCTTATTTGGCTGAATTGTTTGTTTCCAAGGAATAAATGCACAAACTCCTGTTCCTCTCCCTTACTTTGAACTATGCATAATGTAAGTTACTTACTGGGTTTTAGTGTCAAGATTTAGCTTTAGCCTCTATAGTCGGATGGCTGGCCTTGGTGACTGCTGATGGTTTTCTAGATTATGGAACATCGTTAATATTTTTTGATAGCTGAATGACATTTATTGACAAAAATTGAGAGTCATTCACGTATAGCAGTGTAGGAGGTAGCTTATCATAGTTTTAGCATCAATCTTTGGCCACTATGCTAAAACAATTGCTTCTTTTTATTTATTTTGCTGATTTCTTGAACACGAGGTCATATTCCATGTCTTAGCAAGCAAGCTCACAAAATTTAGTAGCTAATGCATTAAGGCTCATATGGTTTGTTTCATTAGAGAAATAATCTTGGGTGTTTGGTTACCATTTTTGTTTCTTACATATATCATACATGCGTAACTTATGTGATAGTATATGCAGTATTTTATGTTGATTTTAATGTGGAATAACAAAATGCAAATATTAGCATTACATGTATTAGAACATGTAGTTTTTCAAAAATATTAGAATCTTTTTGAAAATAAACTTTTCGTGGTTGAAAAAGAATTCAGGATTTATTTATCTCATATTTTTAGTATACTTCATTCAACTTTCCTGTGAAAGTGTTGTTTTATTGAGAAAATGAAAATTATTTAGTTTCTAATAGTAGTACTTTAGTTGTTTCTTAACGCAATATTAAAACCAATTCTAGATCGGGCAAAGTTTTTACCTAGGCCAAGATTATTATTGGAAACAAATCTTTATCCAACTTAACACCAAAACCTTTTTTTAGATATGCATCATATATCTAGAAAAGGTTTCAATATGAAGAACCAAACATCTAAGAGAATTATGATAATCCAGCTATTATTATTAATCATCTTAACACAATCCCTACTTTATAAACTGTGTATAACTTGTTCGCAAAACTAAATGAGTCCTTACTGCACTGCGTAGACAGGTAGTTTTCCTTGCCAGATTAAATGGTACCTCGCCACAGTATATGCCACCTCTCTGTTTCTAACAATTGCTAAAATCACATGAAGTAATCCTGCTAAAATTTGCCTGATAATCTCAAAACTGTTATTTTCATTTTTCTCTATAAATTTTTTGAAGTCTTAAAGTTGTATTTTCTACCAGTAATTGTTACAGAGACCTCTTGTTTATCATCACGAAGAGAGAATCTTTTTCCCCCTCAGGCTAACAGTTTTTCTCTATTATATATTCTTTCTTCAAAACTTTCTGCTACCTCTTCTTAGCCTTGATCTTTTCCCAAAATTGGATAAAACGTGTGGTTAAATGTTGCCAGTTGTTTTTGACTCTGTCTATGCATAAATAAGTGCTCCACAGCATGTCCTTTTATTGTCCTTTTCCTCTACTGATCCTCTGGGTATTTGTGGGGTGGTATGTTTGTCCAGTTTAATTCCGAGTGATTCAAAAATCTTGTATTACTTTCTTGAATAAGTGGCCAGTCATATGGAGATCGAGGAAGTATCTGATTTCCTTTCTTGTAGTTGCCAGTCGTTTTGTAGTTTCAACGCTGATAATATGTTAGTGCTAAGCAAATCTGCTGTTTTTTTTTCCTTTTTGTGCATGCAGAGTGAGGAAAATCTTGTCGGAGCAGACGGATGCCTCAATGTCCCGTGAGAATATTGTTAAAGTCTTGGAAGAGTTGCAGGCACAAGCTGAAGTTGGTTTGTGCTTTGTAGGTGTCAAACACTGATCACATCTGTTATTTTACATTATATTCTACAAATTATAGTAAGCACCTTTATAACCCAGTTTATCAGGGTAGAATTAGACTAGGAAGTTGCGAAATGAAGCGACTTCCTATGAGGGAAAGTTTTGATGTAAAGGTAGTTGCAAACTAGTATTTTAAAGGTGTCTTATTGCTTTTCATTGGCTATGGGGCAGTTAATGAGGAGCTGAACCACATATTAGAGTTGTATGGCCAACTTATTATACTTTTTCTATGTTCTTGGCTATTTGTAGGTTATATGCTATATTAAAACCTGTGTCATCTTTTACTATTATTGTTTTTGCTTCTTCTCTTGGTATTGCGTCCACTGATTTCACTGACATTCACAAGGTCAACAGCCAATAGCCAAGGACGAACAACTTGATGATTAAGGTGAAGACCTAAGTAGTGCTCCACTAAGAAACTGATAACTATTCGTTGAGTTGAATTAGAGGATTTGGACCAAAATTAAAATCCAAGATTCATGTATCCTACCTTAAAGTTTATTACAATAGTTGACTTTCAATTTCTTAAGCCAAAGTTGTAAAAGCCATTGACTATGCGGGGTGGTCTTGAATTTTTCTTCCCATGTTGGGCAAACCTTAAAGGTCAAAAGGTTTTGCCCTTTGAGCTTAAATTTTGAATTTTCACCTTGAAGGGCAGCGTGGTAAAAAAGTCAATACCACCCACTTCCAAGGTCATTCTTGTAAATCACCTGAGTTTGTGTTCCTGATTCAATTTCTTCACTGATGATCAGTTTGGACACACTTGGACTAATTCATTGCACATACAACTACAGACATAAGCACATTACCTTAGACTTCAATTAGCTTCTTCATACATCAGAATTTCTCTAATTAAACAAGCTCGACCTTGAAAAAAGGAGTGGCTGGCTAAAAAGCTCTTGAGCATTTTAACTTGACCACTGAAGAAGGGAAATGCTTGTTGGGATAACTGCTATTTACCTGGCCAAAAGCGACTGCAGTATTTGACCCATTGGGTGTATATGGCGTGGAACTAAGGTAAACAACGTAGAAAAAACGCCTATTTTTGCGGTTCACAAAAGAAGGGAAATGAGGAAACCACAAATTTTCCTCAAATTTCTTGGTTATATGCAGGAACTAGATGTAAGACTTAAGCATGAAATTGCTCTTGATCTAGTTCAGAATCCTCGTAGACTCACTTTATAGATGCTCATAAAAAATGGTGAAAGGGTAGAAAATCACTTCAACTATCAAACTAATCAAAATCGTGGGCAGAAGAATAAATTGAAGGGTGTGAAAAGCTAGCTGAAGCTGAAACTGACATAGGAAAGATAAAAAAAAGAAAAAAGAAAAAAAGAAGTCTTATCTCCTAACTTCTCATCAACCTACATTAGCAGATATTGTTAATTTTTATCATCAATAGCATCAAAGTATATTATGTCATGCATTCTGATCATAAACACTGAATATTATCACAAAGTCAGATGTCAATACAAGTTGATTCGATGCACATTGTTTGTTTATATGAGAAAACCATACTTTGTAACTATTTCCAAGCTGAAGCAACAATCAAGCTCTTGTCTTCCCACCCAAAATGGAGTGCACCTGCCTCCTCCTTTGCTTTGTACCTTTCACTATATTGCTTGATAAGATTCTGGATCGAGTCATAGACGTTTCGACTAATTGGGGATGGAGTGAAACCAGCCATCATCATCCTAGCTCTCCATTTTCCTGCAACTTCATAACGCTCTATTCTCTCCTCTCCCTCACAGGCAACAATGTTTATAATATCACGCGCAAGACATTGCCGTTCTACATTAACCCTCTCTTGGCTATCCCTTGAAAGAGTTGCATCAAGAGACTCGAATACAGCAGAATAGTAGTTGTGAACTTCAGCAACCCTTTGTAGAAATGGGGTGGTGTTAGTGTTCATATCTTGTTCAACAACTGTTACCAGCTTCGGATTTAAGCTCTTCACCATCCGCAGAAGCTGGTCTCTCTGGTTGACTGTTGATACACTTTCATCAGGCATGTGATGGAGCTGGAACGCAAAGTTCACGATAAGAGCTTCGCCAGGATGACAGTTTAACATTGCCGGGGTGACTAATGCAGTGTTTGAAGCCACCGCTTGGAATTCAAAAGGGATCTTGAGATCTTTCGCCAGCTCTTCAAGCCTCAGTCCAATGACATTAAGGCCTCCAATAGCACGTTGAATAGATTCAGGGTCGTCTACCCCGGTTAACCTCAAATGGGGCGGCTTACCAGGCATACTTGCCAACGTCTGCAATAAAGTGTAATATTGACTTCCTTGGTTAATGTCAAAATCTATGATGTGAACTCTTTTCTCATCTTTAAAAGCCTCTAGGATTGCACCATTTGCCGCCATAAAACCAAACCTGAAGTACGGACATACTTCAAAGAGGACCTGCATTGCAGACAGTCTTTCAGAAAAGAGCGCTTCTTTACATTTTAGAGCTTTATAAAGACCTTTGCCGGATGTAGCCATTCGGGCCGCAAGAGCTTCAACCATGTAAGCTGCAGTCCTTTCAAGAGGTTCACCCTGGATAGAGACCATTTGCCTCAGCTCATTAATCATCGACGATGCTTGTTCAATGTTTCCATCTTGAATAGCAGCAGCACAACTAAAAAGCATCTGCTTTGGAGTTTGTGGAGCAGTTACAGATATTTCCTTGTAGCTACTACTGCTACTGATATTAGAATCTGCGGATGTAGACTCCTTAGGAGAGTCATGAAGCAACACAGTTCCGATTTTGCTAAACCATTCATCATCTATGTCCATACACTGGCCACGAGCAAATACGTCATCCCCATCAACTTCGTTATCGTCAAAAAGTACCCTCTCAAGTTCTTGTAGCTTCAGTGTGACCCTTCCGTCATTGTATTGTAATGAATCTGGCCTTTGACTGACAATGTCTTCACAATCATATCTAACCTGACACGCATCATAGTCTCTTGATGGCTGGAAAGAAGACGAATGCCTCGGGTGAAATGGATTCCCGGAGACTTCTGAAGGTGATATGTTTAGAAGTTCTTCTGAAGGTGAAGGAGAGTCGAGCAAATACTTGGGATCATAACTGTCTGTGCTGCTAGACTCGGTTGCATACATAATCCCACGTGCATTTTTGGTGAACATGGATGTTGACAAGCCAGAGTTGTCGTTGTGATCATTTGGAAAGTAGAGTTTCCCATTTCCAATTGTTCTTACAGATCTAACTAAAGACATGGTTCACTTCTTATTCTTATTCTCAAAATAAAGTTGCTTGAATTTTGCCCTTACAAAAACTGCTACTCAATTGCGGGATCCCTGTAGCTGAATCTCGTATATGGGAGATGTTCTCGCAGCTACTGAAACATCAAACAGAGACACAGTCCAATTAGACAACAGAAAACCAAGTGTAAAAGAAGACAATATTAAACGACAGCTAACGGGAGAATCTCAACTATTTAGAAAGTGTAAAAATAGAAGAAATATGTATTGTTTTTAAAATAACCCTTGTGCACTGGATATCAAGTCAGGGAACAGAAGATTCAAAATTTGAGATTAGAATGCAGCAGGAGACAGAAGATTCAGCAGCAGAAAACGATTTTAGTGAAAGAATATGTACTCTCCTCCCCATTACTATTTGAAATCCTTGAGCTTTGAAATTAGTAACTAAATCTATGATACCAAGGGAATTAAAAAGCTACTCATCAATGATAGCAAGTCATCTCTACCAACAGGCAACAGCATCAACTCCCAAATCACTAAAACTTTTCAAGCTTAAGAAGAATTCTTTACGAAGAAATACTACTATTATCAACGACTTTCCATCATCCAAATGGAGTATACTTTGTGCCAGACTCCGGCAAAAGCTAGGTCTTACTTTTGTTAAGTTAGAAGTTTCCTTAATTTACTACTCATGCTCTTTCAGCACTTGAAGAACGATATCGGATTTACATGTCCGACGTTCACAAAAAAAAAAGAAAAAAGGAGAGAAAATCAAAGAGGATATCTAATATAACTAGTCCTTGCTATTTGTCATTTGAGACAAGGTATAAACAAGTTGGAAGCAAGAAGGCTTGAGCCTCTTAGAGACTTAACAAAATACCAAAAAGAACATAAACACCAACAAGAATAAAGAAAATATTCCAAAACCCTTTGATTTCAAAAGATCTATTCTCCTCCTGAATATGAATATGGTAATTACAAGGAACATACAGGTAAAGTGTCAACTCTAACTTCTCAAAAGCAATTAAGGGTAGTAGCATGATCCACACACAAAACAATTATACAGAAGTTTGTATCCAGATAAAGAACTCCATTTAAAAGCAACCGGCTGAAGAAAATATTCAGAGCCAGCCACCAAATTCAGAACCACAAACTAAGCAATAACCAGAAAAACAGAGTTGGTAAATCCACCCACGACCGTTAGGTCCTGGTTCGAGTCATGCTGGAGGAGAAGTGTGAAAACACTACAGATCCTCTTAATTTGGGACTAATTTGGCAGGGGTTAAAAAAAAAACCCAGAAAAACAGAGAAAACAAGAACAGTATTAAGACAAAGAAACCAAGACAAAATTTACCTGTCTAGTAGAACTCAGAAAGGGAAGATCTTTAGGCGAGTCAGTACACAGTAGAGAGAAAAATCAACAACAGCAATCTGCAAATTTCATGTGTAGATACAAATGAATTTCAGAATTGTCTTTGAAGGAAAGCAAACCCATTTTGAGCTTTGACCATGGTACAGAATTAAACAAAATAACAAGTAAACAGATAGTATATACCTTTTTATGGTATATTTCCAATAAAAATATCTTTAGTAGGTACAAAACCAGCTGCAAGCAGATTAAACAATTTCCATGAGATGAAGAAACTTTCAAAACTAACTAAAAGTTTTAGTCTTTTGTGCCAAAAATTCAACCTTTATGAAAAAAAAATCAAAGTTTCAAAGACTTTACCAATAAAATTTAAAGAAGATGCCAAGAGAATTGAAACTAAGGAATTCAAGAAAAAGGAATGAGAACACTTACACCCTTTGATTTTTTATACTTGCAAAGAAGCTTCCTAAAATCCAAAAAATTCAACCCCTTTTACTTTTTCTTGTTCCACTTATTTCTCATGATATACTATAGTATTTGTATTTGTTTGTCTGCATGTTTATACCAACTTGTCTGACTCTACAAGAACAAGTTGTTTGACAACAAGTTTTTGTAAGGGTAAGCAGAATGATCCATGCCTGTTTTCATTTTGTCCCCACATGAAATACCAACTCAATCTTAGCCGTTTAATCAAAATCTT